GCATAGAAACGGATATCAGCGCCCCATCTTGAGCCTCACGAAAAGAACGGTGCCAGAATTCTTCTGTCATGAAAGCACGAGAAAGAGCTACTTTGCAACGATTACAAACTTTCCTTTTGTTTGACGGCTCCTAGACCTAAATTCCGAAGGAATGACAGCTGCCATATGGGAAATAACGAAGTTGAATAGTTGAATAGCGAATTGTGATCAAGGACGAAAACATGCTTAAGGAGGGAGCAGCGTAACGTGACGGAATATCGCCCGTTCCTCGGCATTTGTACTTTTGTCGAATACTCGAGTGTCAAATCCTTCTCGCTGAACGAGCAGCGATTGGATGGCGTAACATTCCACGCTGAATTCTGATGACCACAGAGAAATTAATTTCTGTTCACATTGACTGGCCACTCGAGAACCGAAAGTCAACCGGAAGTCAACTGGAAGTCTCCCTTTATAAAGGAACCAGCCAAGGCCAGCAAAGAGAGAGTGCTTTGCTGAGTGTGTTATACGACATATGTTTCATAAAAAGGCACTCCTGGCTGATCAGCACCCCATCATCAACTCCATGAAAAATGGCGCCAAAATGGCCCAATCATCAAAGTAAAGCAAGACCGACATTCCAACGGTGACTAACTATCCCCTCCTTTCCATACGGGACGGCAAACGTTGGCAGGTGTATTTTTGGTTATGACTCTTCGAGCGGCGCTCTGCAGAAACGACGTAGTCCATCGCGTCTGGCAGCCATAGACGCTACATCCGTTTTGCTTATGAGTTTGCTCAGAGTAAAGGTGATTTGACATTTGTGTCCGAAACGGAAAATCAGATGATTAGGTAAATTGGATGACCTGTTGTTTTGTCATCGTCATTTGATGTTAGCACACTTTGAATAACAGAATAACCAAGATTATGAGATTGACCGTTAGAAATTGTACTGCAGATTGGTATCAGACCATTTCGATTACCTGCGTCTGATTCTATATTTCACAGATATTGTTTCTGTCGGAAAATGTTGATTCATTAACATAAACATTTCCCGAAGGTCATTTTGGGCAGCGAGGTAGAATTTGCCTAAGCAGCAAACTTTGTATATGAAGGGAAACAGACTGAAACTTTGGTCAGGGTTTTTCAACAAATTAACGTGTAGTGCATATTGTGTTTCAATAACTTGTCAGATTATATTTCTCACGTGAGTATTCCATATGCATTGCACAGTCGATTTATTTGTCGCCACT